AATTTTGACGGTCTCCTTTGTAGGCAACCAATTTGTAACCTCTTATAATAGAATAATTTAAAATTTTTATGCATTTGAATTATGAAGTATGAAATATATTTTAAGATACGAAAATATATTTTAAGATACGAAAATATATTTTAAGATACGAAAATATATTTTAAGATACGAAAATATATTTTAAGATACGAAAATATATTTTAAGATACGAAAATATATTTTAAGATACGAAATCCTATTATGCTCTGCATGTATCTATTATTAATTTCATTCATGTATGTGCATATGCATAACTGCAGAATTTTTAGTTCCACATTAGTTTGAAATGTTCAGATATTAAGGTCAAATCCTTCAGACATAGACTATGATCTTTTATGATCATAGATCATGACCTAATGTCAATTTCAAACAATATGATGGACTAATTACAAAATAAGAACTTGATAAATAAATACAACGCCTGCTAGGCAAAGTTATGATTCTAGACTTTGTAAAGTCTGTGAAAAGAATCTTGATGACCCTTTGACTAAGGGATTATCCAGGAGTGTGGTTCTGGATTCATCGAGGGAGATGGGGTTAAGCCCATAGATGAGGTCACTGACAGCGGCAACCCAACCCTTATTTGGAGACGTAGTCCCAATGTCGGTTCAATGTGGTAGAAACAAGCTGGACAAGTGACTCTCGTGTGGAGCATCGACCTAGATATATTTATATATCATTATGTAGCATTTGCTACTACCCCTTCTCTATGATGACGATGCTCTTATGATACAGCTGGCTAGGCTGAGTTTTACTCTTAATAAGTCCAACGCGTGTATTGTGGGGGGTATTAAATAAACAGCTGTAGTACCCTTTGAGGACTTACCTACGTGAGAGGAACCGTGATGGCCGCGGTTAGGGGGGGCTGGGCTAACCCCTAGAAACTCTCATGAGTCGGTTTATTGTGAGCATGGCCTTTAACGCTCAACCCGCTTTGCTCAATAGATGAAGCGTATTGTGTGTGTTTTCATCAATACCTGATTAAAGGGGCCTAATTCAAGGCCTAGTCCATTATGTCCCTCAGGTGGCGATGAACTCACTAAGGAAAGGTTCAAAGCCAAAAGCTACCTCTTCCGAATTCACGATACGAAAGGTTGCCCAACCTATATTTGTTTTATGATTTCTTGATTTATTTATTGATTTCTGAGTCTTCAGTCAATATTGCCTTTTGGGGGGGACTGTTAGATATTTTGTTAACAAAAGGCAATTTTGCCTTCATGAATTATAATAAATATTGTAATTAAAACATGCAATTAAAAATATGTGTAACGGCTATATAATTATGGGGAACGTTACAAAATTTATGACGAACGTTACGGAATTAATTACGGGTTTTGTAACGTCTTTTCCAACCCTATATATATATCCGTATGTTGAGCTCAAAATGATAAGAAAAAATATACAACAAGTTTCTCTTGTTTTTCTTCTCTCCCCTACATATTATTTTCATCTACATCTTAGTTTTATTTTATGGGCAACTTCCTTCATCTGAGCTGAAGCTCTGCATTCTCGCCCGAGTGTAGAGGCCGGCCGTTTTCGGGGGTTTTTACCGCTAGGGGAAGGGAACCATCTGCGCCAGGGCGATAGGCGGGTTCTCAATCTTCTAGGGCAGTGAATACACGACTGCTCCCGTTCAGGCCAGTTTTAATTGTTTAATTTTTCGGATTTATCTACATGCTATAATCTTAATTATTTGATAAATTTTCTAACATAATTATCATACGTTTAAAATTAGAAGTCATAGCTACTCCTATATACTTAAACAATAATCCATGTTTTAATACATTTGATTTAGATATCACATCTACTCCTCTATACTTGAAGGAGAATCCATGTTTTAATACATTTAATTTGCTTTACTATTTATAATACAGTAAATTACTGTAGAATGAATAGTAGCTTCAGGTGTAGAGGCTCAGATCTGATTTACCGTTTATGCTATAGTAAATTGCTGTAGCAGAAATAGTAACTTCTAGTGCGGAGGGAGTTGTGCGCAGTGAAAATTTCGGCAGCACCTCTGGTGCACAACAAGAGAGTAGATCTCAACTAAATCTCTGTTTCACAAAGAAAACAAGAACCGAAAGTGATATATCTCAACAAAGTGGGATATACACGCTTCCTCTCATCAGTTCTAGGACTGACTTGTCGAGGAAACATAAACAAGCTATTACAAATCACAGCAAGACAACGAATTTTACGTGGTTCGGCAAGTTGCCTACGTCCACGGGGCAAGGAGAGGGGAGATCTACTATTAGAGAGAGAATACAAATAGGGTTTACAATCACACAAATTAAACCCCCAAAACAAGCTCTCAAATCTCACACAAAACAATCGCCAGAAGTCTCTACGTTTTTTTCTTCTGCACGCCGTACTCTCTACAATTTTTCCTGCTTGCACGCCGCCCAAGCCAACGAAGCCCTCTCCAGGTTTTCTTTCTCCTCTTGTACAAAGCCCCTCTTTGCACAAAACCCTAGGAAGTGGAACCTAAAGATATATATAGTACAGAGTATCGGGTAGGCCAGGAAACGAAAAAACTGCCCACATTCACAAACCTAAACGTGTGTGGCCACCACTATCTCCTCACACGTCCAAGATCCTTATCTCCTCACGTGGGTGTGGCCCACTATCTCCTCACGTTCACAATTCTCCATCTCGACGAAGTTTTTCCAAAACTGAGCCGACACCAACTAAACCAAATATCTCATTTGTTACGTCCAGTACGAAGTGAAACAATTCACGATAACGGACTCAATCCACAACAAGTCGAGAACCCAAATGAGAATGTGAACAAACTCCAAACGTCAGTATCTACTCCCAAATCGACTGTATTATAAATGACTGCCTACGTATCCCCTTGCCCAGGGAATCAAGCATTCACGTAGTTCACCCAAATGGCCGCGAACGACCTCAATCAACTAGAAGAGTTCAGAACCCTTCTCTAATATCACCAACAAATCTACGGCTGATAGCTCTCCTAATGGCCCCAAAGCAAAACAAATCAAACACCTCCTCCTGAGGTGAACCAACGGCTATAACCAAATCTGAACTATATCCACCAGTTGCACTCGAATCAACCAACTCATCATCTGCATCCAAAACAACATGATTCCCAATCTGTTTCATCTCAGCTGGAATCTCAAACGATGCAGTATGATCTGGAGTATGTGGAGTAATCTCTACTCAATGTGAAGTAGCATCATCCTTCACCCGTTGCGATATCCCAATGACCTGATCAACACTCTTTACCTGCCGAGAGTCAAATATGATATACTTGCTCAGAACAAAATCAGAGTCTCCCAACTGATAACCAAACGAGCCTCTGAATCCCAAACGTGTAATCAGATCAACTTTCACATCCACGATATGACCAAGTGTTGGGTAACCAAACATCCAACACAACCCAATATCTGAAGTAGCTCCACCAGATCCAAAATCTCCAAACGTAGCAGTTGGCAACCTATGCATAAGATGACCCAAACATGTCGAACTTCGGAACATCAATCTTTGTATTATTGATGCTCAGACACTGTATCGTCTTCGTAAGATACGATCCCGATATGCTTGTTTCACCCATGTTGTAGATCTAACTCTTCAAATAAGAATCCTTCAGCGAATCCTTTGAACAAGCCCCAAGTCAAAACCTGGGCTCTGATACCACTTGTTGTGCTCAGCGAAAATTTCGGCAGCACCTCTGGTGCACAACAAGAGAGTAGATCTCAACTAAATCTCTGTTCCACAAAAGAAACAAGAAACGAAAGTGATATATCTCAACAAAGTAGGATATACACTCTTCCTCTCATCAGTTCTAGGACAGACTTGTCGAGGGAACCTAAACAAGCTATTACAAATCACAGCAAGACAAGGAATTTTACGTGGTTCGACAAGTTTCCTACGTCCACGGGGCAAGGAGATGGGAGATCTACTATTAGAGAGCGAGAATACAAATAGGGTTTACATGAGGGTTAATTAAACCCTCAAAACAAGCTCTCAAATCTCACACAAAACAGCCGCCAGAAGTCGCCAGAAATCTCTGCGTTTTTTTCTTCTGCACGCCGTACTCTCTGCAATTTTTCCTGCTTGCACGTCGCCCAAGCCAACGAAGCCCTCTGCAGGTTTTCTTTCTCCTCTTGTACGAAGCCCCTCTTTGCAAAAAACTCTAGAAAGTGGAACCTAAAGATATATATAGTGCAAAGTATCGGGTGGGCCAGGAAACGAAAAAACTGCTCACGTTCACAAACCTGAACGTGTGTGTGGCCCCCGCTATCTCCTCACACGTCCAAGATCCTTATCTCCTCACGTGGGTGTGGCCCACTATCTCCTCACGTTCACAGAGGGTCAGATCTGATTTACTGTTCATACTACAACATAATATGGACAGTGATTCTTTGGACCCTCTAAGTATAGGAAAGTAGATTTATGGATTCGCATATCTGTTCTTTTTGCCCCCACGGCATTTACATTTGATGCTTTTTAATAGACTCCACATCAGTATTAGATAGTAGATAGCGTCGCTGTTTTATTACCGAGGCAGATCATAATATTTGAATTCTACTTCATAGTTCAAACTAGCTAGATGTAGACTTTCTTTTTTCAGGATCATAGACAAAAAGATCACAGAGCGTCTCCTGGGAGAGAGAAGAAATTTTCCCTTGTTTTTTATTTTTATTTGGTTTAAAACGTAGATAACAGAAAGATGAAAAGCAACGACAGAGTGTGGTGGGATTAGAAAGGTAAGATGTCGGTAACAAATAGTACTACGATGACAGAGCTTTGGAGTGTGGATAATATTGTCATTTGTCTCTTTATACGCACTCATTTTGGCTTCTTCTGAATTATTAGGTTCCTTTCTCTATAATAAGCAAAGCAAAGACGAACATGAGAGAGATCAACATCGACGAGAACCAAATAAGGCGTCTTTGGATTAAAAGCTGATGTTTTGCTAAGCTGTTTACTCAAAAGCAGAAATAAATATTTGGCAGTTACCTCAGAAATGTATGAATACATGACTTAAAAAGATCAAACTCTCGTCAACTGATTTCGGTAATTTTACACGAGTTTGCAAGTTGACAGTAGTACCTGTTTACAGTTACACTCAAAAAAATCACTGAAACCCATCAGGAAACTAGAACGCTTAAACCCCAGGGAATTTTCTGCAATTCCCATAAACCTTGGGAGTGTTCTGTAATTTGCCCAAATGCTATAGCTCAACATTGCAATCACCAACCATGCATGCTTATGGTTTTAGGTCTCGACTCTCGAGACTTTGCTTTTCGAGCGGAATAATCTTTTGCATGTTTGGTTCTGAGATCACCAGCCATACTTGGCTTGGGTCTCGGCCTTAGTGAGGAATCCCTTAGCGCGCCTCTCAGCAAGTTCCATCTCTTTCTGCTTCATGTCAAAGTACAATGATCCTATCTGATGCTTCCTCTTGTGCAGTTTCGAGGGTTTTCCCTTGCTTGTTGAAACCGGCTACATTAACAAATTTGAAAGAAAATTCACTTTAGAAAAACTGTATCTGAATTAGAGCATCTCAATACAAAAGGCAAGTAGAGAAGTGTATTCAAACAAATTAGAGCTTAATGCCAATTATTTTTCTCTCTGAGTCACCTTATCATGAAAAAACTAACTGAATGGTACATTGTTCTTCCTCATTATTTAGAAAACTGATCATGTAACAAAAAGTTAATGACACCACAACCAAATATAGGGTGCACACTAATAAAAAAGTGCCAAGATAAATTCAAAGGAAAAACTGCAAAGGAATAAAAAACAAAGAATCACGTAAAGTAATCTGTTAACAGATTCTTCTGATGTAACTCTGTCGAAAATTATATGATGAAAGCCTTTTTTATTACACATGTACAACTTTGAGTAATAGTCACTAAATGTTTTAATAATACTTGAACAAAAGAAACAATTGCCTATTTGTTGTGTTTCTCCCAGACAAGTGTTTGTTGAAACACCAGGTTGGTGATCAGATCAAAGCCCCAACCAGAAGTGGTTTCATGTGCTTACCGGAAAATAAATGACTAGTAAGCATATAAAAAATAAGAACATTGTATAATGTCATAGATAACAAAATAAGAATAAACAAGAACTTAACAGGCAGCAAGATTAAAACATTTTATTGCATAGTGTTTTTCAAACTAAATTCAGTCCACCAGAAAGTAATATGACAGGAGCAGTGAAGCAAAATACCAACCAAATTTAGAGAATGAAGCTAAATTATCAACTGCAAAGCCATATTCGAAAACAGTTAAGTAGTAAAGTGCCGGTGTGAATTAGTTACTCCTACAGCCTCAATAACAGTAAAAACTAGGAAGTCTGCCACAACTTCATCATTAAAAACAAAGGCTCTTCCAAATTATCTAGGGTTATCTATGTAAACACTTTTTAACGCATTAACAACGTATACTTCCACAGGTATACTTCTACTCCTTATTGCATCATCAATTACGACGTCATTCAATTATTCATATGCCCCAACAAAGATGGCATGCGAGAAGACATACATTAACTAATCAAATAAAGAAGTGTGTTAGAAGCATACCAGTAGACTGGGGTTTAGTTACAAACACAAGCAGTTCCCAATTTATAACAATCTAATAAAAAAACTTAAAAATGTGACAGGAATTTTAAATCTAATAACACATGATTTAAAAACAATAATAATCTCATGTAATTGCCGTGTCTCATACTCGTGCTCGCAACTGTACCAGTACCCCTACCCGTCTCCATGCAACTAGGTGTGGGTATTGCCGTATTGCTAAGCTAAGAATGATTAAAGGAATCAGCCAATGAAGACATTTTTACTTTATTACCTCCATGAACGAATGACTGTTTACCTAGTTGTTAAAGGATGCAAGAAAAGGGTAGTGAGGAATAAAGTGAGCTAGTTATATTAGATGCTGAAATTGGAGAAGCAACTCTCATTACTAGAAACAACATGATAAAAGGAATATTTTTCCATTCTTGTTAATCTCTGACTGTTTCGGGTTCTTTTAATATTGTAATTATCTCATATTACAACAGAAAAAATAAAAATAAAATGAAGGAAAAATTTATTTTTCCTGGGAGTTCTTTTTCGTGTGCCGATGGAGCGTCGATCTTGTACTCTATTGACGCACCAATTAAGACTTAGGGTCTTTTGCTATTGGTGCAAGATTAATGGTTTGGAAGATAGCTCAGTTTTCTCTTGACAATTTCACTTGATTGAATCGCCAATGCGATGATAAGAATCTCTCTCTACGTGTGAGTTAATCTCTTTGGGATTTGGTTCAATCTCTTAGATGGATAGACATTCTTAGAGTTTTCCCAGTTTTTAGATCCTCCTTGAATAAATGATTTTCCCTCCTTTTATAGGCTACAAGAGAGCTAATGACCCCTTAATTGTGGATTAAGTGACCATTAAAGTAAAAATAATGGGGAGCAGTTATTCCCCAAAAAATAGCTTCTAAAATGGCTATCTAGCGAGCTTCATGGGCTTGGTGAAGTTCGCTGAAGACATGAGCGGATGTCGCTGAAGTCGTGCGCGAGGATCACTGTGGACGTGGGCAAGTTTTGGTCCACTTGAGTTGACGTGGGCGGAGTTCATTAGTTGGCGGACTTCACCCATGAGTTTGAACTTAACATAGAATTCGACTCTAGGTTTGGCTGTAGGCGTCAAAAAATGCTGAAAGATATCCAAATACAGCTCAAGAGGAAATCATCCAAAAAGGCAGAAAAAATACAAGTCTTTACTGTCTCGCACGCAAGACAGACTTGACTGTCTCGCCGTGCGAGACAGTCTTTACTGTCTCGCGGGCGAGACAGACGCGAGACAGTCTTTGCTGTCTCGCCGTGCGAGATAGAATTTACTGTCTCGCACGTGAGACAGCTTTCAGATGGTCAAAACTACCTTTACAACTGCCCTACACGTGGCCACTAACTGTTCAAGAACGTGGGAAACGTCGTGGGCGAGAATCACGTGGATAACTGCCAAAATAACGGAGTTTAAAACGTGGGGTTGCCGCGGAGACAGTGTTTTACTGTCTCGGGGGCCGAGACAGTGTTTACCTGTCTCGCGGGCCGAGACAGCAAACACTGTCTCGCCCGTCGAGACAGCAAAAGCTGTCTCGCGAACCTGTTTTCTGCCAACTGTTCTTGGAGGTTATAAATACCCTCCTAAGGCCATTTTTCCAAGGGGCTGATGATTGTGAGAACTTCAGAGCAATCCAGAGCAATCCAGAGCAGAGAGAGAGCAGAGGTGCTGATCTTACGGCCAATCCTTGAAATTGAGCTTTGACTTGATTTCAAGAAGAACGACTATCTTACATCGATAAGATATCGTTTCAATTTCTCACTTCGATAAACGAAGTCAGAATCATAAACCCCTCACGGTTCAATCAGAATCTGTGACTTGGTGGTCCACGAGTCAAAGCGCTCCCGGCACAGGCAAAGATCCCACGAAAGCAGTGATCCAAACAACGATCCTGCGTTTATTTTCTCAAGAGTTGTAATTTTCTTTTTGTTGTGTAAAAGAGTCTTATAAAAAGGCTGTTTTCTTTGAATTTATTGTAATCGACCGAAGATATAATGAATTCGACAACAAATTCGACTTTTGGCGAAAACAAACTGGCGACCACAGTGGGAGCCAACGGTCTCGCTGCCGAGACCGTCGTGTCGCAGCCGATCAAGATTCCAGTTGAATCCATGGTCGAATACGAATTCGACCAAACCAAGTTTGAGGAATATTTCTCATCATCCTCTTCAAGATCTTCAGTATCTCGCAAGTACAAGAGGATCTCACAATTGAGGAAGACTTACATGCCAAAGAAGGCACAAAATGAAGATTCTCGCTTGATTGTTGCTGAGAATTTCACTCGCAATACCTCTGCTCACAATGGCTCTTATCTAGTTAAAGAGTCATCGAATCAAAGCCCGCCGGCATTGACGAAAAGAGCTCGTCAGAGACAACGCCAACGCCGTGCTCGCCAAATGGCTAAAGCCTTGGAACAAACCGACGGGGTTCGTTACCACGCGGACCTAGAGTCGAGGAGACATCGAGTGGTTCAGTTGTCTCAACAACCAATCACTCGTATCTCTGCTAAAACAACGACGGATGAATGGACTATTGTCAAAAAGACTCGTTCGACCCTCAAAGAACGTATACAAAAACGTCGTGCAAAAGCTGCTAATGCCCATGCTCTCTCACAACAAAGACGAGAAAAGAGAAAGGAAATGGTGACCAAAGAATCACCAAAACTTCGTCAAGTTTGGATTCCAAAGTCTGGACTTATGCAAAATCAGCATTCGGAGCCCGTTAAGACCCCATACCCGCAAATGGGTGGTTTCAGACGTGCGACTCCCAACATAACCTTGGATCGCTCAAAAACAAAAATAAATTGTCCTGAGAATGCCAACAAGGTTTTATACCCCCAGAAGAAGACGCATTCACCAAATGATATCGTCATACCTGGGAGATCATACCAACAGACGATACGATTTTTTGGCAATCATACCGATGAATCGTATTATCAAGTTGAAGTTGTGAATAATTTTCGAAAGAGAGTTATTCGAGAGATAAACTCTCGTTGTTCCTGTGCGCGACTCGTTAAAACAGCATTATCAGAATGTGACTGTTTCAAACGAGAAGTCATCCCACGAAAAGTCTCTGTATTATCGAAACCTAAGCCGAGACATTTCCGCAAAAGAAGAGCAGCTGTCCAAAATGATGAATTCCCTGAAGTCACCATCAACGTGGCTGATAGAAGAAAGTCTAAACAGCATTCAAGTGACTCAAATCCCGACTTTTCCCCGAAAGGAAAAGTCAATCCAAGAATTGCTCAAAGGATGTCTCGACTCCAATTAGGAGCTATCAGACGCAGAGACTACAAGAGAATGCAAGAAGGAATGTCCTCGGAGGATGAATTCTCGGACACTTATTCTGCAATCGCTTCTGATGATACAATGTCTAGCACAGGACAAATCAGAGAAGTATTCACAATCACTGCTGATCAGTTCACTCAAATACTTCAGGAAGCTCTAGCCAAACAACGTGAAGAAATTAGAGCTGAAGTGAAGACAGAAATGAAGTTGGCTATCCAACAAATGAGAGAACTGTTAACTCAACAGCCTCAACCTCCTGAGTCCAATCAGCGATTTGAATCCAGCCACCACACTCGGAATGTTGTAGATGACAGTGATCCAGAGGTGGATGAAGTCATTATGGCTGATACACCTCCCAATGGCAATAACGCTGGGGGTGGTTTAACGGATCCTCCCAATAACGATATTGGGGGTGGTTCAATAGCACCTCTCACTGGGGGTGGTCCAATTATCTTTACTCGACATCATTCAGAAAGAAATGAAGACGATGACGGGAAAATGCAAAAACTTGAAGACAAAATCAATGCTTTGATGACGGCTCAAGAAGTTAAGAAGACGGGTATTCCATGTCCTTATCCGAGGGAATGGGATTCAATACCATA